GCATCCAAATACCACACACCCTGTTTGTTTCACCAGCATATCACATGTGATGATCCCTTGCCAAGTCCTCTTCTATTTTTAAAGTGAAAGCCTATTTAAAGAGGGGTGAAAGAAAACATTGAATCCCCTTTCAAACACAGGAATACAAGCAGCATTTTTGGGTGCAAGAAGGGGGGATGGTTGACGGCAAGGGTCAATGTTGATAAAGATTCATGCTATCAGCACTGTGTATGCTGATATTGACATACAGTATATGGTTCTTTGTTACAACTAATGGTCAAATGGTCATGATGATAGCATGGATGGGTGGATGATGGGCCCAGTGATGTATGAAGGGTCCATCTCTCCAGTGTTCAAAAAAACACACCTGTCTGGACTGTGTTCTTGTGAGTTGCAGGTGGGTGCTCACCTGAGGAAGTGGGCATCCTTCATTATGAAATTAATGCACAAAGTCTGACACAGAAAATAGTTGAGTAAGTAACTTAGTTTCCCTGTCTCTGACAAGCTAAAGATATAGGTTCACAAATTCTGACCATTTAAAAAGAATCCATTGTATAAACTAAAGCCCCCACCATTTTTAATCAGAAATGACAGAGCTTTGTAAGTATTAGGAGTAGACTAAGCCACTCAATATCTATCTTCTTGCAACAGCCTCAGCCCTGGCTTAAAAACCATAGTAATTATATTCACTGTACTGTATGAATCCAGTTATTATTTTAAGCTATAAATGTGATTTATGTCCACAGCCCATTACCGGATTGTAGGCTGTTAGCCACTGGTCCGCATCAGTGGCTGGCAGTGCATGCATGTGTGTGCTCTCGCACCCTCCCCACTCGCGCTAGCGTCACGGTGTCACACAGGCACTAGCAAAGCCATGAGCATCGGGTGGGTACTAATGTCGCCACGAGTACACTCCTCCACTCACGCTAGCGCCACAGCATCATGCCAGCACTATCATCATAAGTGCAGTAACCCCACTCACGCTAGTATTGTGGCATCACACAGGCGCTAGCATCCCCCAAGCATTGCATGGGCGCTCGTGGCCCTGTTTGCATTGTGTGCACAATCATGGTCCTGTTTGTGCACGTGTGGCCCTTGCTTGCACATGTAAAGGAGTCTCCACCCACGCCCCCAGAAAGGTTGGGCACTCTGGTGTATGAATACAACCAATAGTAAAAGACAGAATTCTCTTGTGTGCATGCCTTTCACAGATTGCACTACGTGTTTAAAATAAAGCAAAATAGTTTTGCATAGCAAAAATGGTCCATTCTCAGGCAAACTTCAAAATTTTAATAAAAAATGGAAAGTTTCCATAGGATTTGTGAAGATTTTCAAAAAGAATTTTCCCCTTACCTCTGTGGACTTTCCTGAAATGTTGACACTTTTTCTTAATGTTGAGTTCCCTGGATGAAAACTCCCCCATGTATGAAGAAACACCACTAGACGAAGAGATAATCAAGAAGATATTGGACTGTGCTGAAATGGACAGACTTATGTTGAGGATCAAAGAGAAAGAAGATACAGAATATTTTCAAACATGGAGTTTATTTTATCAGTGGTTAGAAAAAAGGGATAGAGACTAAGAATGTAACTTGTATTATGAAGCAAATTAACCCAGACAATATGATGTTTATTAAGCACTAATCAAATGTAATAATAGAAAATTAATTAAAAATTTGAGAAAAGAAAAGAATAGAGCCACTTTAAGTGAAAGTTCCTAAATGGACAATATCTCTTTTTTGCTTTGAGTCTGCCCTGTTCCTCTTCAAAACTATTAATAGTACTAAAAATGTTGGCTTTGAGCATGCCAAGTCACACTGTCTTCCTCGCTGAGTTGTCGGAAGGAGACCTTGGCAGCTTTGCTCTCTTGAATTATATAACTAATCACTCCATACCTTAAATGGTTGCCAGATTCCTTGGCCTTACTACGGCATCATGAGCAAGTCCCAAGTCTGGATTAGCTGTCCCTTCCTCCTTCTTCTCCCAGATCTCACCCACCTTCCCAGCAGTCAAATCATCCCTGTTCCTAGCAGCTTTGAACTACACACAAGCAAACATACATGAACCTATATCTCCAGCTATTTTGAAGACTAGCGGTTGCAGCTCAATCTGTCCAATGGTTATTATTTGCAAGAATTTGTTTGGGTTTGGGGTTTAATAGAAAAGGGGAACTAGCAGGTTAAGTTGAACTGACCCCCTAACTTGTGAGAGTGACTATTATGAAAAATTATTATTATTATTTACCAGATTACTCTACTCTGACATCTCCTTGTTTTTCTGCTTTTCCCCCACCTCCCAGGATATTCACTAGTGGTCTTCACAGCTGTCATGGTATATATCTCATAGCCAAACCTCAACAGATTTTAGCATAACCTTAATAAATCCATGTGATTATGGGTTTTGGATTCCATAGGTCCTGGAACTGAAGAAATTTCATCTTTGATTCTGAATAGGATTGCTTTATTGCCTCAAATTCAGGAAATAATTTGCAGGTTCTCATGAACTTATAAGCTTTTGTTTGAAGAGCAGGAAGCAACTGTGGTCAATGAGACCTTTGCACAACTTTATCTTGGGCACTAATTATGATCTTGGATGATGAAGCTCTGCTAAAAATCATTCATGCCTTAATCATTTTCTGGATGGATTATTTCAATGCAGTCTATATGGAGCTGCCCTTGAAGATATCTGGAAGATACAACTGATCCAGAATTTATTTATTTGTTTAAAACATTTATATAGCCACTATCTTCCAACCAATGCTGAGTGGCTCCCAACCAGCTTTAGGTACAGTATAGATATTTATGGGCAATCCTTGCTACAATCATATAATTCCCCTACTCTGCAAACTGTAGTAGTTCTTTATTTACAACCATTTGTTTAGCATCTCTTCAAAGTTACAATGGCACCGAAAGAAGCAATTTATAACTGGTCTTCACACTTACAACTTTTACTGTATCTCACAGTCTCCATGATCAAAATTTGGTTGCTTTGCAACTGGCATGTATTTATGACTCTTGCAATCTCCCGAGGTCCTGTGATTGACATTTGCAACCTTCCCAATCGTTGCCTAATAAAGTCATGTTGGGCTCACTTAACAACCACCTTGCTTAGCAAAAGAAATTCTTGTCCCATTTGTGGTTGTAAGTTGAGGACTACTTGCATAGGCTTCTGAATGCAATTCATGATGCTGGCCATCACTTAGAAAGCCCTGAATAGCATGGAACGAGGATACTTTCAGGATTACCTTTTTGCCTCTCTCACATGCTGTAATAGGGAGGGGAAACCCTAAGTCTCTTCCTTGAAACTACAGGGTAGTCCTCGACTTACAATCAGCCACAAACTTCTGTTCCTAACCAAGATATTTGTTAAGTGAAATGCCTTAAGAAATGCCTGAGAGCTTAGCTGTTCTCAATAACTAAAGCAGAGTTAGACCTGATTCAATGGGAAGTTACTCGGAGTTACTGGACTGGGAAGACACACACCCTCCCAAAAAATCCCTAAAGAAAGCAAAAAGAAACCATTACATATTGGCTGCCCAGAACATTTCATGGACCAGGAGTCAAACTCAGTTTGAAAAAACCAATGACCTTTTTAAAGGAATAGCAGCTTCAGAAGCCTAAAGTTGAAAAGGAAGCAAGGGATCAGAAAATCAAGAGGGTGGTCACCAACAAATGATTGAAGCCCCACCTCTTTTAAATGTGTCATAATGCATATTGAAAGGAGGGGTATTTCAAGCACATGTCTTAACAGCCACCCATGAACACCTCTCAAAAACAGCATGGGGAAGGTTTTCTTACTCAGGTTCTAGAATGTAGTTTCCCAGTTGTTCTGCCTATTCCCTCACTTTGCTGGGTACAGGTAATCCTCAGTTTCGAGCAGACTTTCCGTTGATAAGCAAGACAGTTGTTAAGTGAGTCACTTTTTGCCATGATTGTTATGCAAATCACTGCACTTGTTGATCACATGGTCATTAAGCGAATCTGGCTTCTTCCACTGACTTTGCTTGTATGAAGCAGTTGGGAATGTCACATGCCTCAGCACCCTGCAATTGTTATAAATACAATTAGTCCTCAACTTAGTGACTTCAAAATTACAACAGCACTGAAAAGTGAGTGATGATCATTTTTCACACTTACCACCATTGCAACATTCCTGTGGTCACATGATTAAAATTCACAATGCTTGGCAACTGACTCATATTTATGACAGTTGCGGTGTCTGGGGTTCATATGATCACTTTTTGTGACATACCAGCCAGCAAAGTCAATGGGGAAGCCAGATTCACTCAACGACCGTGTAACTACCTTAACAACTGCTGTAATTCACTTAACAATTGTGGCAAGAAAGGTCATAAAATGGGGCAAAATTCACTTAACAACTGTTTTGCTTAGCAATAGAAATTTTAGGCTCAATTTGGGATCATAACTCCAGGATTACCTGTACATGCTGCTTGCCAAGAGTCTAAATTTAGATTAAGTGGCCATGGGGATGCTGTGATGATCCATAAGTGTGAAGACTGGTTGCAAGTAACTTTTTTCAATTCAGCTATTGCAATTTTTATGAATGAATGCTTGTAAATTGAGAATTACCTGTAATGTGTAGTATGGAAGCTCACCTCCTTTAGCAATAGAAGTGGAAGTGATACCTCTTACCTAATTTGGCTCCGTATTTGTGAAAATAATAAAGGAACTGTTCTCTAAGGTATGCTGTTGTATTAAATAAACTCTTCCTGTGAGGTGGCGTGAATTAGTATGCAGCTTTATAGTGGCTTTCTTTAACCATGCAACAGATTTATTATTTGTTTATTAAATTTATATGTAGCCCATCCCACAACTGAAAGCAACTTGCCTCATATGTATCTAATGGAGGTTTGTGTTCAAAAATGTGCCCAATGAGTTGAAGGAAATTTGTTATCTTGTCAGGTTGGTAGGACTAGACTGATGCAAAAGTGTCCAAGTGAAAGAGATACACATTCCATCATTTTCTTTTTATTTCATTAATCCTTTAGAATACAATCAAGATAAATCCATGTATCATTTTATTTAAAAGAAAACAAGACAAGAAATAGAAGGCACTAGGAAAAATTCACAGTGGAATCTTTCTTCTTCCTTAACTGCTTGTACATGGAAGGGAGAAGGAGGTGAAAGACCAAATCTGTTCTTTATAAATTAAATCCATTTCCTACCTTTTCTCTAAACTACTTAATTCAACCTTCATTCATCACTTTCCCAAGGTGTACTTACTCTCCATCTTTCACAGCGTATGTTCACCAACATATGTGGGCGTCTCCTATCCTAAATCACACAACTAGGGAGGGAATATCAGAATAGGATCCTAGAAGGTAGCTCCTATCCAAAGTTCCCTCCTGGAACAGGACCAAGAAGGCCAACAATTTCCTCCAAATTCTTTCACTAGCTACACCATTAAGCACTATTTTCCTAAACTCAAGAATAACTCAAGCATAACTCTCACTTGCTAAAACCCAGAAACTGCAGTTCTTATCATTTTGATCAGCCATTTTATCTGCAAATTCATTTCTCACTGTAATTGTGTCAATCACCTTGCATAAGGAAGGACTGCTTTCCTTTTTTCCTTTACTCACGTGGACTTTCCTTACTTCTCAAGGGAGGTAACATTAAACAAAAGAAGAAAGAAAGAACAATGCAGAAAAATAAACACTAGTCATAGAAATATGTAACATTATATATCTAATTATATATACACAAACAAAGACATCTCACATCCTCGCCTCCCCACCCCCACCCCCGGAGAAAGAAGGCCATTCAAAGTTCAATCCTACAAAGTCTTTTCTACATATCTGGGCCTCTTCAGATTGTCCTCATGCAGCAATAGGCACATTGGCCCAAGCCAGTTCCAAATAGGAGAGTTGTTGAGTTGCCTCAGCCTCTCTGGGCCTCCTGAGACATAGAACGGGACAGTGAGCGATGCAGGCCAGCTTTTTTGAAGTCGGGACAGGTGGGCTGGACAACAAGGGGCAATTCTTTGGTGATCTCAAACACAGGTTTCTTGTCAGGGCAGACACCTGTGACTGGCAGAGACTCCACTGACTCTGATGGAGTAGGTGTCAGCTCCCGTTCAGCCTTGGTGCTTAGCTTGACTGGTGTGAAGATAGGCAAAGGCAGAGCTCGCTGATAAGGCAGATGATAAGAGATCAGAGGCTCACCAAGCAGACCTAGACGGAGGATGCCCCATGGTGATCGCTGAACTATGGCCCAAGCCTCCTGTTGTTGGTGGTAGGTTTCTTTGTGCTGATTGTCGACCTCAGAGTGAGAGCAGCTATATGGATGTGAGGACAGTATGAATTAGAAATCCACCCTTCAACATACTTTAATAATCCTGTCTTGAAACCAACCTTACAATATACATTGCAAGCAAAAATAGGGAAACTGAGATTGCGTTCTTTCATCTGGAAGAATGAAACCATCAAGAATATTGTCGTTCAAAATCATATTCTCAGTCTTCATTTGGTTTGTTTGAAGTCCACGCTCCACTTGCCAGAAGGAACAAATTAGTGATGCAATAAGAGCATGCAAACTCCGGTCTCTCAGTTTCTTCCCATTGTCTAACATTTACACTCGGAGGAGTTTATTTCGGCTTGGAGGTTCCCTTCATACATCCTTTAGAGCTCTGATCTTTCATGATTATCAATCACATAGCAAGCCTCCACAAACTGAGAAAGCCAATAAAAAGGAAAGATACAGGAGGTTGCCTAAGAGACTCATCCCCAGTTTTACTTTCATGTGGCAGCAGTTTGTTGAGAGGAGAACATTCAAGTAGGGCTTTTGAAGAGATTCATGAAGGGACATTCTGATTGCAAATACTTAGCTGTGACAGCTACAAAATGAAAATGGCTAGTTCCAAATGGAATTGTGAAGAACTCCCCCCACCAAATCTATCCAGTTTAGGTGAATGAAGGACACAATAGCAAATATAGCTCAATGTAAGGGAGATACACCGTCTCCAAAATAGATTAATAAATATCCTAACTTCATATAAATGATAATGGGGACTAAGAAAGCAATGTGATTAATGTGTGTGGAAGGAAGGAAGGAAGAAGAAAAGTTTATTCCATATTTGGAGTAGTTAGGGAAAAGGGCGAAAATTATGTTGCATGTCTTTTCAGAGATTTGTGATATAACAATGAATTTATAGAATTTCAAATTCTATAAAACAGTGTCATCAGGAGTCTTTAAAAGGGAGGACATGTTAAGGCTGTATTCCCCTAAAAAAGAAAGATTGCACCATTCAATTTAAAAGAGAGAGAAAAGAAAGAATGAAGGATGAAATCATAGATTACATTTTGTATGCTAAGGATAGAGAAAGAACATGTTGTTGCTCTCTCTCTTTCATGCTAGTAGAGCTTGAAATGCTCAGTAAACTGAAGAAATTCAGGAAAGGAGGTCCCTTTCATTTAATGATAATATTCACGCATTATACTAAGCGTTCAAGTATATGTTTGTTGCTAAGCTTATGTGAAATTGAAGTCGGTACATGTATCATTTAAGGATAATATTCACTATCTCACTAAGTTAGATGGCTTCAAAAAGGAGTTGGACAAATTAATGGAAGATTGCCCTTTCAATGGCTATTAGTTGTATGGTAATACTTGCCAGAGTAGGAAGCAGTGTGCCCCTGCTATAAGTTCCAGGAAAATAACAGAGTGGGTAATTGCCTTTGAATCCTAGGGGTAATTTATTTCATGAGCATCTGCCTACCCACTGTAGGTGAAACAGGAAGCAAGACTAGGCAGGCCTTTGCTAAACTGAAAAAGAATCTGTTCTTACAGCCAGAGGTAATATATTTTTGTAAACAACAGAGGACAATCAACTTTATCATGGCCTGCTTGCCTACACTTAATCTGGCTTTGAATCAACATCTACTAAAATTGAATAGAAGCAGAAAATTCTACTTTTAAAAATCCTGGCTGCAATAACCATGAACATGCCATTCTCCTTTCAACCCAACTCACTTTTTTCAATGGTATATTACTGATGCTGTGATTTAATGTCACATATCTGTTCATCTAAAATGCCATAATCTAAACCCAAGTTTAGAGCATATGGAGATTCATATTCATGTCCATCCTTTAGGTGTGCCTTTCTCTTTCTGTCTGTTCTGCCTTTATGTGTAACATATAGTAGGCTTATTTCTGGTGCTATACATAATCATAACCTCAGAAACACTTCAATCCAACCCCATGATAAGTTGTTGCTTTCAGATAAAAGAAATACATCAACTTCTTGGAAAAATCCAGCTGTTTTCCATCTCCCAATGCATGTAGTACTTCCAAGATCTGATTATGTTTGACTCCCTAAATAAATGTACCATGATTTCACTTTGTGTAGACATGTTAATAGGAGTCCGGGCAGTCCATCCTCCAAGTTTCAGAAAAGAACTAAGGAATCTCTCCCCACCCATCTGCTGGAATAAATCATTTTTGACCAGGTCTAATACAACCTTTGCCTAATAAAGACAAACACTCACCCTTCTTCAGCCCTTGACGTGAGTGACAGGTCTTTCCATTCAGCATTGAATGATTCCTTCCGGGCCTCATTCTTCTCAGACACCTGGCAGGCCAGTTCAGCTGCAGACAGCGTCCCGGAGGTGCGGAGGATCACACTCTTGCCATGCATCTTTGCGTGTAAAGTTCTGTTTGAAATAAAATGAGAGCTGTAAATCTCAATTCTGCCTAGTGTTTTGCCCCTGCTTAGGTGGTTTATATAGTTTTTCAAGAGCTCATTCCCGGGGGATGGTGCTGGAGCTAAATTGGTCTTGCAGAGTCACTGCTACAGCATTCCAATACTGAATACGTCTCTTCTTCTCCACCCCTTTGCCCTCATGAGATATATGTGTTACTGGAATGCATATAGATGACATTACAATTTTTTTTAATGCTCTTTTAATTCTGTACTTTCTGGCAATAGTAAGGACTGATAATTTAATTAATTCACTATTGAAGATCAAAATAAAGTTTGTAAGTTTCTAATCTACAGCATTGTGCATTAATCTTTAACTTGGATGGACATTACAGCAATTTAATACTTCAAATTAAAATCTATTGAAGTCATGAAAACTCATAACTTTATTTGGGGTCTCTCTCAATGAGGAAGTGGATCTTTAGAGATATACTGCTTCTTAATGCCTTTAGATCAGCCCAAAGACTGGAAAAAATTACCTCTGATTTGCATAGTATACAAGTACTTTTTCATCATTAAGGAATTGTGAAAACTACAATAAACATTAAGCATTTCCTCCTCTCTTCTTCTTCTTATGGTTCTTTTCAGAGTCAGCCAGATATTTGGAGTGGATCTGGCATTTTTGTTCCACCTATCCAGTCCTTCCCAAGGACCTGGAATAGGCAGATTTTGTTCGATGGTTGCAGGATGTAAACTGTAAATTGCTCAAGAGAGCTGCCTTTTTTAATTGACTGAGTTGATTTCATCAATGTCAGTGGTGTTCAAGTGGTGCTCAAGATGTTTTGGGAATGCCGCCCAGGCACCTATTATTCTAGGAACTATCTTTGCTCTCTTTTTCCATATTTATTATACTTCTATTTGCACATCTTTATACTTTGTGAATTTCTTCAGCTCTTTCTATACTGTTCTGCTATCTCCAGGTACTGCTACATCTACCATTGAGACTTCTTTGTCTTTCTCATTGACAATTGTTAATTATTATTACTATAATCTATTGACAACAATGTGAAGTCACAGCTGCCAGTTCTTTAGCTGGTGCATCATGTTTTTCTCAAGCACCTGGGCTATTGTAATGTATGGATGTAATATATGTGCGGATCCATGCAGCGTGGCCTCTTACAACTGTCAGATGGAAATTACATCAATGCACAGGTTTTCTAACTTCTGACCAAAAAAATTGAGTGTGGCATCTAGTGTGCCAATAATTAGTGAGCCCACCACATGATATATGCCATAGAACTTATCATCATCATCATCATCATGAAAGAATACACAATTTCATAAGTGCTTCAACACTAATATTATCTATTATTATCAGACTATGTACAGTTGTATGTTCACCATCAAACCCCTATGATCTCTTTATACAGTACTAGAAGGCATCAGTGCACAAAAAGTTTATGCAGAGAGTATTCAAAATCAGTTATTTGCCTTGAGCCCACATAGCTCTATGACAGTTCTGCAGGATGAAGTCATTTGGAAAAACCTTTCCACTCCCTCCCTCCTTCCCTCTCCCTCAGGTTTCAGGATCACCATGCTCCCTCAGAGCCAAGCTCATGCTCACTTCTCTCATCTCCAGAGAGACCCAATGCCAAAATTTTGGTGTAACTGGGAGAAAATGTCCTGCATGTTCCTGGAGGGTAGACAGGGTCAGGGGCAACATGAGATGTTGACTTGGCAAGCAGTCCCTCCTAAGTGGCATGGAAATGCTGGGGGTAGAAGAAGCATGTGTAAAACCAAACACTGCAAAGACCTGGGACAAGAAGGAACTCACAAGTTGGGAAGAAGAATCAGCATGCCTCTGTTCTGAACACTTTTAAATGGCACTAGTTAAAAGGCCATATGAGAAGTAGTCATATGTGATTAACTGGCTTACTATGGATGAGTAGACATGCTGGTGCACATGGCTTGATTTCTCCTATTAGCTCTAGCATAATCAAACTTTTCATAATTGAATTCTATTGATATAGAAATAAGAATCCCTGCTTTGCCGGGCCCAAGCAACCCAGGCAGTGAATCCATCAGACAGTCACTCCCTTTTGCAGTTGGAAAATAACCTTGAACTATTTTCTTGGATTAAGTAGTATGTAAACCAACCCCAAGTATGCGTTGGGAACTCAAAGGAAGTTAGATCTGAATCAGTATGCATTGGATTGCTCTCAAGTGACACACTATGCTTATTTACTCCTTTTTTCATCTTCTTATAATATTTCCACCATCAAAGAATAAGGCCTCTCTTAGCATTCATTCAGCATTATGTGGGATATTTAGCCTGTGCATTTTAGAAGCCCATCAGCTGTTCTTTGTTACTAGACAGATTGTTGATAGCAGCCAGCACAAACAAATGAGGTGACTCCTTAAAACCAGTTGTTTGTTCGCTATAATAATGAAAAACAGTGTAGGCTTTAAACCTACACTCTTTCCAGCTTCAGAATTGTTTTTAATAAGTTTTCTGGTAGTTGTATCATCTAACTCGCAATATCAGACAGGTCCTAGACATGCAGACAGACGTGCACTCAATTACTTTGGAACAGCTTGTTTGACACATTTTCAGTTGCACATATACAACCACCCAGTCTGTACACAATAGATGTACAGTTATTTCAGTGGGCAGTTGAAAAGGAAAAGAAATGAAGGTGGGGGTTATAATTGTCCCTGGCTCTTGTTTGTTATGACTTTAATGATTTTTCAGCTGGTTGTAGTAAGATGCAGTTTCTAACTATATCTCAATCTAGTATGGGTGAAGCAAATCAGGGCAAAGAACTTATTTGTAGTTCTTGCAATAAAAAGGCAAAAATAAGCAGCTAGCAAAGAGTGATATGAGAGCAGAATTTCTCCTCTGGGTATCTCAGAAGAAAGAAAAGAAAAGTATAGCTGGAATACTTTGGAAGCCCCATCACATAGTCACTTTCAGTTTTACACAGAACAATTTTTTGTGTACTCAATACTTTTACTGGATTTTGATAAAATTAAGTCATATCAAATTAGAAATCATGCTTAAAAGGGCATATTATTTATAAAGGTGAATCGTTTTCCTTGATTTGACTATTGCATTATTAAAATAATGAAATATCATCATTTTAAGATAAACAAATCAACAGAAAAGAGGTATTAAAACATCGAAGTTAGCTCCCATAAAAGATATATAGTTCTGCTGATTCATTGTTGGAAAAACTCTGCCTCCCTCCTGCCCAAGATATTTTTTATCACAGCAGGTAGGCTACAGCAAAGTTATCTTTCTCCCGATCTCCTTCCTATGTTTTACAACAAATATTTTGCCTTGTCCTCTGAAATTCTCAATCAGGGGAGATCAGCAGATTGAGAACAGTTGCACTATTTTCTTTCCATCCAGTTTTGCAAAACAGGGTGATTTGTGGAATTCAAAGCAGAACATCTGGTATGTTTCCTTTTGCAATAAAGATTATTCTAAGTCAACAGCTCCCAACCTTTTCTATACCCCACACCCCTAGAACGCTTCTGATATATTCTGGCACCCCTTACAAAAGTTTGAAATAACAGCAACAAATTATGCATATACACTATAATTTTGAAAACCTAAGTTTTCCCACCCCCTGGAATATCATCTCGCACCCCCAGTTGGGAATCCCTGCTCTAAGGCAGGCATGTCAAACTGCTGGCCTGTGGGCCGGATGCATCACACTGAAACCACACCCACCCCATTGTCGGCAAAGATAGAAAAGTTGTGATACGTAGTGCGACGTCACATGACGTCGCGAATTTGACATGACTGCTCTAAGGTATTCACATTCAGCTCTACAGGCTTCATGGCTCTCTAACTTTCATTTCCTACTCTTCCATGATTTTTTAATACAATCAAAAATGTGATGGGAAGAGGAGGCAGATGTAGGTTTCTTCTGTGTTTTACATATTTCACTCATGTTAAGGATCACGTTGCAGATTTGGGTCTAAAAACAGCCTTTACCAATCTAACGTCCAGATATTTTGATTGCAGTTCCTGCCATCTCAGCCAGCAATATTGCACTGGGGAAGATGGGATTGTAATCCAGTGCATTTAGATGCACCTGCATAGAGAAGATTGTAGCATTTTATAACCTCAATGGGGTCAATAGGAGATACACTTGATAGTGCCTTATCAGCAGTTGTAGGCAGCAGAAAATGTCATAATTATGTCAGTCAACAGGCAAGCATTTTCATTGATTTATGCCAGATGTCTTTGATGCCCTTTTCAAAGTAAAATGTATCAATTAAGTGTAGTATTTCTTTTAACAATTGATTAACATTGCATGGCATTTTTACTTCCATCCCAACTTTGAAAAATTAAACTATCCCTGTGAATTGAGGATCAGTTTAATCATAAACACAGCATAAGAATAAAAATTAAATATTATTTCTTCTCCATTTTGCTGATCAGTTAACAAATGTATTTAGGAAACACAATGGAGGACTTTAGCTACCCTAGCATCAACTGGGAGACAAACTCTGCTCCAAGTTGAGAGATAAAGGTTCCTGACCAACCTAGCTGACAACATGGTCATCCAAAAAGTAGAGGAAGGGACTAAAGGGACAGCTCTACTGGTTCTAATTCTTACTAACAGAGAAGAAATGATAGAGGGGATTGAAGTTGCAGGAATCTTGGGGGAGAGTGACCATGTCATATTAGAATTCAATATAATGCAGACACAAGCAATAGAACATAATGAAACCAGTGTCTTAGACTTTAAAAGAGTGATTTCAACAAACCTAGAGAGGGCTTGGCAAGAATTCCATGGATAGAAATTATAAAGGGGAAAAAAACTCAAGAAGCTTGGGAAACTCTGAAAAATATAATTTTAAAAGATCAATCCAGCATAATACTTCTGCAAAAGAAAAATAAGAAATCCAAGAAGAAACAAGCATGACTGCACAAAGAAATCTCTGATACACTGATAGACAAAAAGGATAAGTATAAAAAATGGAAAGATGAATATATAACTCATGCAGTGAGGGGAGGGTGCCAGGAGTCCCCCATTGCTTTTGAATGGTGTCCAGAAAGAAGGGGGGACAAGGGATATGCCTTTCCGTAATCTTAGGTTCGGAGAAAAGCGGCTTTGAGTCCTGGCTGGTGGAAGGAACCGGTTGAGGCTCCTGATCAGGGCAAAGCTTGGCCGAGGTAGTTGCCTTCAGTAGAAGTGACTTAAACAACCCTGGATCAAATAGACCAACCTGCAAAAGATGAAGCTAAGCCTCAGAATGAAGTAAACTTGTAACAAACGTCAATAATAATAATAATAAAATTCTTTCAAAATATAAAAAACAAGGGAAAAGTCAAAGCAACAATCGGTCCACTAACAGGAGAAGATGACAAGGAAGTAATGGGCAGCAGGGAGAAAGCAGAGTTACTAAATTCTTTCTTTGCATCTGTCTTCACACACACAAAAAAAAATCGCGCATCCTACGCAAAAAAAACTATAAAAGATAACTAGGAATTCAAATTAAAATAGGCAAGAAAACACCTGTCCACTCTATATGAGTTGGAGAACACCTGTCCATTCTAGATGAATTCCGATCACCAGGACTATCAGAATTACATCCCAGAGTTCAGAAGGAGCTGGCAATGTGATCTCAGAACCATTCAACCATATCTTTCAAAGATCCTGGAGGAACTATCAGACTGGACTGGAAAAGAGCTGATGTGGTTACCATCTTCAAAAAAGGGAAAAAACAGATCGGGGAAACTACATATCAATCAGCCTGACATCAATACCTGGGAAAATCCTGGAAAAAATAATAAAACAGATCTGTGAACACCTAGAAACAAGCAAAGTTACAACCAGAAGCCAACATAGGTTTCTCAAAAACAGTTCAAGCCAAACAAATCTTATCTCATTCTTTGACAAAGTGACTAAATTAGTGGATTAACAAAATGCTGTGGACATAGTATACTTGCATTTCAGTAAGGCATTTGACAATGTAGACCACAAGCTCTTTCTTAATAAGCTAGAAAAATGTGACAGCATTACCACCAAATGGAGTTGTAACTGGCTGACAAGCCACACTCAACAAGTAGTCAATGAAACTACATCTACATGGAGGGAAGTAAACAGTGGGTTACCACAAGGTTCTGTCTTAGGCCTCAAGGGTCCTGTAACTGGAACAAAAAGAAATTGTTTAACCTAACTATTGCTATCTTGCTTCTGTAATCAGGGTTTGTGTCAGGGACAAATTTCATGCAAGCGTGGGAAACATGTAGATGGATGGGATGTACTGAAGGAGGAAATAAGGGAGTGTACAGGAATGATTGATGTAATGTAATGGCTCTGTTGTCTGATTTTTATTGGTTAACAAAGTTTATAAAGCAATGCTACTAACTTTCTAAGGTGTGAGACTTCTGAACACAACACTGCCAGTGTTCAGATTGTGTTCCCACCCAGGACTTATTTTGATTGAAAATAAAGTGCTGTATCTTTTAAGAAGCCTCTGCTTGGGTTTTTATGATTGGATTTTTTTTATGATTTCTCAAGTTTTGCCAAGGGCCAGTGACCTTACATATTTGGCGCCCGAACAGGGACTTGAAGATTTTTTCTTCAAGTGGTTCCTCCATTAGGACTCCCTGTGAATGATCCCCTCACAATCTTCAGCTATGACATCCAGGAAAACTGGTGCAGGTCAGCTATAAAATCAAGAGCACTCTCAGATCCTTTGTATCTGGTGACTTTTGAACTGGCTAGCTGCCAGCAGACCTGACATTGTCTAGTTCAGGGGTAGGCAACCTTTATGACTCGTTGAAATCCATGAGTCATAAAAGAGCCAATGTTACCTACCCCTGGTCTAGATCCAAATGTTGAAAGAGGCTTCCATCTCATCTCAGTGAGGATAGGAGGAAACAAGAATACAGGAGGAATTTGGTAAGTAGAAACAAACATTCCGGAATGAGGAGGAGGTTGAGGGAGGGAGGGAGTGTGTGTGCGTGTGTGTGAAATGCCTGGAATGCAGGGATTTAGTTGCCTGCAATGTGATAGAAATGGGTAACTGTTAAGGAAACCCCCTGTAGGGATTCCCACATAAGAGAGGGTGTGACTGGCCCCTGAACTGAAGGAAAGGTCTGAAAAAATCTCTTGGGAATCATTCATTTTCACTGAGCAAATGAACTAGTGTTTAGGGAAGAGGAGGAACCATGTTTTCATTAGGCTGCATGTTAGCCCATTGGAAAACACTGAAAGCACTGAAATTGTGGCAGTAAAAATAATCTTCAAGGAAGCACAGAAAAGCTTTGTGCATCTCTGTTTGGCCAGCTTATCTTTTTAACAACTTCATCCATGGAAGAAAAAAAATGAAAAATCAAAGAACTGTTTGTAAAGTTTTTCCCCCTCTAATCTGGCACTTTGGACAGACATTTTTTTTCTGTTAGACAATGGTGCCATCTACTGTTCTCGGAAACCATCCCTATTGTTGGACAGGAAGAGAGGAGGCTGCTCTCTGCCGTTTTCCCCTCTCCGTTCAGGCTGGCAAAGGGCCCCAAATTCAACATTCCTTTTTTGGGGTCCTTCTACAGTATCCTTTGAATTTGCTAAATTAAAAAGGGAGGCCTGCTTTGGCCTCAAACCCCAAATTGATGTGTTTCTTAAAAATGACCTTACAGGCCCACTACTTTTTAATATCTTAATGAACAATTTAAATGAGGGAATAGAAGGGGAACGCATCAAATTTTCAAACACCAAGTTGGCAGGAATAACCAATACCCCAAAAGATAGGCTCACGATCCAGATGGATCTTGACAGATTTGAACACTGGCCCCATCTAACAAAATGAAATTTGATGTAGAGAAAAGTAAGGTTCTATGCTTAGGCAAGAAAAACCAAATGTACAGGTATAAATTAAGTGAAACTTGGCTCAGTGTAAGTAATTATAAAAGGGATCTTGGAGTCCTAATGGGCAATCACTTAAATATGAGCCAGCCGTGTGCTGCAGCCACCAAAAAAGCCAATGCCATTGTAGGCTGCATTAACAGAGGGCTAGAATCAAGATCACTTGAAGTATTACTACTGCTTTATAGGCAGTTTATAAGACCACACTTGGAGTACTGCATCCAGTTTCGATTGCCACAGTATAAAAAAGATGATGAGACCCTGGAAAGAGTGCAGAGAATAGCAACAAAGATGATTAGAGGGTTGAAGGCTAAAACATGAAGAATGGTTGCAGGAATTGGGTATCTCTAGTCTAGCACTATAGGACTAAGGGCCATATGATAGCAGTGTTCCAATATTTGTTGGGCTTCCACAAAGAAGAGGGATCAACCTATTTTCCAAAGCACCAGAAGAAAAGACAAGAAGCAATGGATGGAAACTAACCAAGGGGAGAAGCAACCTAGAACTAAGGGGAAATTTCCTGATAGTGAGAAGAGTAAACTAGTGGAATGGCTTGCCTTCAGAGGTTGTTGGTGATCCCATCACCAGAGACTTTTAAAAAGATACTGGGCAGTGATTTGTCTGAAATGGTATAGGATCTCCTGCTTGACCAGGGGGTTGGAATACATAAGACCTCCAAGGTTCCTTCCAACTCTGTTACTCTGTTCTGTTTTATTGTGTTCCAGTTCTATTATCCAAGAAAAACAATTGAGAGTGAAGATACTCATTTTTGTTTCATTGTGCTTTATTTTTAAATGTTTGGGGTTCTGATTGCAAATCCCCTATGTAATGTGTATTCTGGCCCTAAGTAATGAAAGACTGGCATCTCTTGGTGGGGGTTGGAGGAGAGTCATTGCCTCATCTGGATTGTGTCTAAGATTATTTGAAAATATAGAAGGAGCTTGATTTACAACTGCTGTTTCCTGCCTCTCAAAAGTGGGAGGGTGGAGACATATATTAAATTCAAGAGCTATGCATTATTTGTGAACAAGATCCTTCCCTGAAGGACAGTGGTATCTGTCACACCATATTGCCGTCCCTGGTTCTTGACACTAATTTTGTTATACTGAATATACAACCTCAATAAAGTGTCCTTTCAATACAGTTATTAAATGACTGTCCAGTACAAGATACACACTCCATTCCCTTGCCTTCCCCCAACAGCTTTGCCAGAGCCTTCATCAAGCTCTTTGAAAGGTCTTCTCAATTACTCTATGGAAGGGCATGGACATGTATTGGACAAATGACTCCAATTTATAGATACCCTACAGGGAATCTCTGATGGTATCAGCTCAAAGTACTTGGCACTAATTGCATTGCATCCATTAACTTGTTGTATTATCTTGGACACACAGGGTTATAAAACCACCATGTCAACTCCAAAACAGTAGGTGAGCTGAATGCAGCTAAGTATTTCCAAAGCCATGAATGCCATTGGTGTTGCAGCTATGGCTGAAAATTACCAGAAATTCAACCCCATGGCTTATTTACAGAACAACTATAGGCCACCACGTGCCAATTTCACTAGTGAGGATTTTGTGGTGCCCTGGAAGCTCCGATGCCTGGCAGATGCCTTTGCCACAGGTAAGGTATTACTAAGGTTTGCACTGGTTGGAAGGGGTTCCTGATATTTAACATTATTTTTCTTTCTCTGGCTGGAACACTCTGTGATCTTCCCTCCCAGATTATTTCCCCTCATGTTAATAGAGTAATTGTTAATAATTTTTCAAAATGCTAACCTTGGTAATCTAGATACAAAACAAAGAACAGAATGAGAACAGAACAGAACAGAATATAATAGAATATAATTCTTTATTGCCAAGTGTGATGGGACACACAAGGAATTTGTCTCCGGTGCATAAGCTCTCAGGGTACATACATACAACAATAGATTTATAGGTCATAGATGATACAAACAATAAATGATAAATTCATAAGATAACAATAGGAAAAGATAGTAGAAAGGGTGAGAAGATGAGAAAAGATGAGAAATGGGACGATGAGAAAGATGACAATAGCAACACAGTCTACTTACTACATGGATAAATATCTTAGGCCTAAGACAGTGCTTTGGGAAGTAAGTATTCAGCAGTTATGGCACAGGGGAAGGAACTATCTTTGAATCTAGTTGTTTTGGCATGCAATGGTCTATAGCAGAGGCCCCTAACCTTTTAGGCACCAGGGATTGGTTCTGTGGACAGAAGTTTTTCCACAGACTAGAGGGGGGGGATCTGTGTGCTGTTTGCATCCCAATGATGGGGCTTTGCTTGTTTGTGCGGACCAGTTGCTGGCATGCCACAGCCCAGTATCAGTCCACAGATCGGGGGTTGGGGACCCCTGCTCTGTAGCAGTGTCCTGAGGGGAGAAGTTGAAACAGACCTCAATGGAAGACAGGATGGCTGCAATTATTTTCCTGCAGTCCTAACTATCCATTAAAGTTTGTACCTATCCTGTTTGGTTGCTGTACCAAACCAGATGGTTATTGAGGTACAAATGTCAGACTCAATCATTCCTCTATAGAACTGTATCAGCAGATCCTTGGGCAATCTGGGCTTTCTGAGTTGATGCAGGAAGAACTTTTTTTGTACCTTTTTAATGATGGTTCTAACGTTAGGTGTCCATTTCAAATCTGGGAGATAATAGAACCCAGAAATGTGAAGGTCTCTATTGCTGATACTGTGTTATCTAATAGTGTAAGAGGTAGTAGAATAGGAGAGTTTCTTCTAAAATCTACTATCATCTCTATAGTTTTAAGAGTGTTCAGCTCCAGTTCAGTTCGGGCTGCACCACAGGGCCAGCTGATCTACTACTTCTCTATATGCAGACTCATCAGAGGTTTTCATAATAGCAAAACAATTTAGCTCTTTCAAAATTAAGGCTTTTAAATCTCAAAACTCTGAGCCAAAAGACCAGCTTTCAAGAACTGTCTTTCTCTTGCAAAGTTGTTATAATGTTATTATGAAGTTAGGGGAAAGGAGAGGGTTTGAAAATACCTGATTCTGAGTTTTGAAATAACTGGAAAAAATAGCCAGAATAAACTCATGGTAAAACTGATCAAGGCATCTTTTAATTTATCATCATCTCCATCATCATCTCCATCTCCATCTGCCTGGTTTAGTGTATTTGAAGAGTAGAGGCTTTTCCCCAGCAATGTCTAAAATGGCCATCTCAGCTAACAATCATTGTCCATCCTATCTTGGATATTCCCCATGGAAGAGCAAATACCAGGGTTTTGGTTTCAACTAGCATTCATCCCATTTAAGAATCTGCAGAAAGTGAAACCCCAAAACTTATTCCCATCAGATTTGGTGGCAATCTTTTTTATTTAAATGCTTATTTGCTAAATGTGTGAGATTTTAATTTTTTGAAACTTGGGGCAGGAATCAACCAGGTTGAAACAAAGCATTTATCTAGCAGTCATTTACTATGGGAGTCAGTTTCACAAGACAAATTATCTTATTTTCACATTAACACTTAGTTCAACTGGAATACCTGTTGTGACCATATACTTTCTTCTTGACAAAATGTTGTTAACTAACTGAAGGGCTATCAAAGAAAAATGCAAATGTCCAGACACCCTGCACCTGAAGGTTAAGAAATCTGCATCTAATGTAAGAATTAAGAATGATATGAAAGGAGAACAGGGGTCCCAAAGTGACCCCTCAATATTTGTATAGTGGACCGTGCCTGGTCTTTCTGCAAATATGTTGTGTTTCTATTCAAATCTAGTAAAGATTTCTAAATGTTCATGTATGTTTATAAATAAAAAAATGCAGATATGAAGCAGTCTTGCCCACTGTCTTTGATGAATTATTGACTTCTTTGATAGAGGAAAGATAATAGACAAGTTGCTGTTAAATGAATGCTGTGGAACAGCACAGATAATAAGTCTTATACTAACCCCTATTCCTGTTATATTGTTTTAATAATGCTTAAACTTGGTAGGTTGACAATCAAGAATAATTCTTTGCCTACAAAAATTTTCAGGAAAGTTTGCCTGCCTCCTGGAATGTCAAATGGGCTAGTGCTCTATTTCTGCTTAATTTCTTACAATTACAGCATCTGAGCAAGGCACAAAGCTAAAGAGGAAACTCAAAGTGAAATGGAATAGCAGCTACTTTTTACTATTATATATTATTCCCTAGACTAGAGAGCCAATTCCCTGCTTTCCTTCCACACGCACACTTAGGATTCTATAGTGCTGTGATGAAAAACAAAAATCATTTTTTGGATGACCCTTTGGGATCAATGGGACTAAGTATGACAGAGGACTCTCAGTGCATATCCAAGCTCCACATTCCAATGGCTTCTCTTCCTCTTCCTCTTCCTCCAGGTCCACTTTACTCTCACTAGCTAGCCTAAGATTTGATATTTAAATAAACATTTCCGGGTTTTGCAAAACTGTTTAAAATGAATCATATCTTGGTTCCCCCCCCCTTTTTTTTTAAATCCCTTGCAGGAAAGATCACCGGCCACACACTGATTGATATTGGCACAGGCCCCACCATCTACCAACTCCTCAGTGCCTGTGACTACTTTGAGGAGATTGTAGCCACTGACTTCCTGGAAGTGAACCGGGCTTTGATTCACAACTGGGTGCACAATGAAGACAAAGATGGCTTTGACTGGTCCCCTTATATCCAGCATGTTTGTAAAATTGAGGGCAAAGGGTAAGTAGCTGAGAAGGGACTTTGCTTTTGGATTTAGGGAAAAGCCATATATATTGTTGGAATTTATATCCACTTGAAAAATGGTTAGAAGGGCCCCAACGTGATTGGTGGGAAAAGAAAGGGAAGATTATATTGCACCTGGAATTATGCTGCCTGAGCCAGGAGCCAGGCTGATCTTTGTGTCATCTTGTGTAGTAGTGATTTGACACATTACTCCATTTCTATATTAGAATTAAATTTTCCATGTTTCATACCAGCCATAAATCTGCTCCCCTTCCCCCTTTTCCCCCCCCTGATAATTATAGGGAGCTGTGGAAGGAGAAAGAGCAAAAGCTGAAAAGGAAGCTGAAAAAGATCCTTCCCATTGACATCCACCAGCCGAATCCACTGGGTTTTTTGCTCAGCCAGCCAGCTGATGCTTTGGTTTCTACTTTTTGCCTAGAGGCGGCGAGCCCTGACCGCCCAAGCTTTGATAAAGCTTTTCAAAATATCACCAGACTCCTTAAACCTGGTGGCCATTTTCTCATGATTGGAGCTATGGAAGAGTCTTTCTACTTAGCTGGAGAAGTAAAGCTGACAGTGGTGCCCCTGAGTGAAGCAGACATCAAGGAATCATTTGCAAAAAATGGCTATCATATTCATGACTTCCGTTCCTACAACATGCCTCCAACCCTGATGGTTGGAGTTGACGACGTACAAGGGATCTTTTTCATCAATGCACAAAAGTTTGCTTGATTCCATTTTGTCTAGAAGTTGTTTTTCTCTTGTCAAAGAAACATGAGATTGCATAAAAACTCCGCTTGCTCATTCTTCCCATTATTTTTTCCGTTGGTGTCTCTGTGCTTAGATCTTATTGTCTCTGTTTTGATCTTATCTGAATTCACATCTGTTGTCGAAAGAGGATAGTTTCAGTAATCTGAACCAAATTCCTTTGCAGATTTTATTCAGTTTTACTGTCCATAGAATGAAATAATGCATATACCCCACCAAAGTACAGATCAGGGACAGAGTACATATTTTTCATTTAAAACAGCAAGAGTACAACTGCAGTAAAGGGGGGGGCAAGTATCCCCAGTTTGGAATTCTCCAGATGTGTAGGACTTCCAAGACCGTGGTGGTTGGCAAATATAACATTTGGAACCCAATATATTGGAGGAGCACCAAGCTGGAGAAGATTGCAAATATATTGGATAGCAAAGCTAGGCAAGTAATCCACAATTAGCCACAAACTAGCCAGCTCTATGTAGCCATATATATAATAGGAACTATAATCTGATTCAGTATAAAACGAATCCACATTAGATAAAGCTGTTTATAGTGGTGGTGGGTTTTTTTGTTTTTGTTTTGCCTGTTCTATTAATTTTGAAGTTGGCAGAAGAGCCCTATTTTGGTGTTCTAGAACAGACTGGACACTTCAAAAAATTTTCCTGATTGCCTGAGAAAATTGCTGCTAGAAGATAAGTAATTTCCAAGCAAGTTTATCTCCTAAGTCCTCTGTTCTCAGTGTAATGACATGAGTATCATTGGCTATGTAATCAAGCTTCACAACCACAAGAAAAATAATTCCAGGAGCATTTATCACAAGTTCTAAAAAGCTTTATGGAAAAACCTCTAAGGAGGGAGGTGCAACATAAAGCAGCTTACTGATTTGTTTTGCATAATGTATTAAGGTATGATTTGCTTAACTGTGGTTTAAAGAAGTCTCAGTTGCTTGAATTCTCATGTCATATTATGTATTATGTAACCCAGATCACTGAGAATTCTTAGTGGGCACAGAATGCTAACTGATGGGAGAGGAAGGCAAAAAAAAAATCAGGAAGAAAGGTTGCAAGATTCAGGAAAATTGCTGGGCAAAAAAAATAATTGCATTAGATTTCAACAGATCTACATAAAATATGATTAAAACTGGATCCACCCCAATACTGAGACAGAAAAGTAAATACGACAGCATATTATAAAAATATCTGAGCACAGTGTAGCTTTCATTTAAAAGCTTTATGGACATCTACTAGGTGCTGCATGCTTATTGAACTTTGTTTTCCTCTTCATGTTGACTTTCTTGAAGAAATACAAGAACCACTTTGAATTCACAAATAGTTTTAAAAAAATTATCTTCTGTCCCAAATGTGTTAACTGGAAAGAGGTTTGCCATGAACTGCCACTGTCCATGTTGGCAGTTAGAGGGAACTGCCAACCTTTTTTTAAAAAAGTTGCTTTGGATGTAAAGTAAACTCAGCCATACTTTGTTTCAGTTCATTTTCCCTTCACCCTAATTTAGCTGCATATGAGGACTTAGGGTTTGGGTATATTGACAATAAAACACAAATAGCAGGTGTTGTGATTTCAATGACATTGTAAGCAGCCTCAACCATAACCAAGGCATTATGTAAATATTATTCTGCAGATTGTATGGTTCCTTAATTCTCAAAAGTTATTTTCAGATTAGAACATACTAAAAGCAGATCTTATATACTTTACATGTATTTTCCTTGGAAAAAAAAAAGAATCAGACTATTGAAATGATTATGTTCAACGGTTACAAATATTCCCAGCACCTATTGCTGCCCTCTCCTCTCTGTGTGGTGTGTGTTGTTATGGCATTTCTGACACAAATACATTATCATAGAATTAAATATATCTAACAGCCAAATGTTTTTAAAACTAAAATGTATCATTTTAAGTAGTATATCTGCTGAATTTTCCACTTGCAAATCCGCGACTGAGTTGTGCCATTTCAGAAAGCAGATAAAAGGAATGTGATGGTGCCACTCATAGGGTGGTCATTTCTTGGCATAGCTGGTGGAACAGATCTATCTTCTGCCCACAGGCTGCCTTTTTCCTAAATCAGGGGCTGCCTCTGTAGGGATGAGTAGCTTGTCCTAATAGATCACTGACTTGCTTGTCTGTAAGCATCTCACATACTGGGAAACTCAAGAGACTTCAGCAGCTGCCCTTTAGCCAAGCCAAGCTTCAAAGACAAGTGGAGATTAAAGGGATAATAATATGATGGAAGGATTTTTCATAGTAATTACAAGCTGCTAAATAAGGTCATCAAGAGTTTAGCATTTAAACTGAATCATTTTTTATTGGAAATTGCACATACATAAAAAAAAAACAGCAGAAATTCAATTACAGTGGGATGTCTCCCTCAGAAGAGTCTGTACAATGTAACCCATCAAGAGGAATGTAGCTGACCATCCAGCTATTATCTGGCATTTAATAGATTTCTTTCTTTTCAGCTGACTTCCAGCAGAAGTAGCAATAAAAAATTATCAAGTACCTGCGAGATTGGTATAGGCCTAGACAGATGAATGTAGTTTAAATAGAATATATCTTTTATGCGATGTTTTAATAAATTTGTGTTTTTCCTTCCTGACATATATAAAATCTTAGAGTAGAGAAGGATGTTTCACAGTTGAAGCTCCACTAACCTTACTCTGTTCAACAGAAAGGGGAGTTGCCTGCCTAGGAACCTCATGTAAGCTATTTGCAAAGGATTTAAACTTAAATCCTGGTGTCACATTTATAAGATGAGTTTTGAGGCATCTTCTGGAGTCCCAGGAGAAAGTGTGTGGGATTCTTTATGTTTTTCCTATAATTTTCCAACCCATTGCAAGAATGACAAACAGAATTGAGGCTAAGGATATCAATTAGAAAAAACGTAATCAAATTTCTCTTCTGGAAGGGAAATAAAGGCAGGGAAACAGCAGCAAAACCATGAAAACTCCCATTGTTACAATTTAGCTTGCATTTGAGACACTAGTGCACTTACTATCTTGGTGAAAATGTATCAGATATCAAAAATCAGCATGAGCTGGATCTGGCATCTTCTTTTCACAGAACTCCTTCTCAGCGCAGTGGGGAGAACATGAGTGGTATACTCAGATTAGGACTGAGTTCATGCTAAGCCAAGATTTGATTTTTTTCAGGGTTCACTTAGTAAATTATAATTGGCTTAATTGCACAATGTACTCATGGTCTATAAACTACCTAGCTGAAATATAAAACTGGAAGGCCACAGGAGCTTGATGGGTTAGCAAGGACTTATAGGAATAAACAGCTCTCCTCCTCCCCCCCCCCATTTATTGATTGCGCTATTCCTCCCATACATACCACATCCTGGAGCTTCTGACTTAGATCTGTTTGCACAGATTACTAGCATGTGGTTTTATAAACTATGGTCTACCAAATTAAATCAACTGATTGTGTTCACACAACATATAGTTATAAAGCTGGCATATTCTAGTTACATTCTCACAAACAGGAGCCCCTTAACAGGCATAGGAAGAAGGCAGGAAGAAGGCTTTCCTCCCATTGGCCATTAAGTCAAGATCTGAACATAGAATAATAGGCCTTGGAAGAGGCCTTGGAAGTCTTCTAGTCCAACCCCCTGTTCAAGCAAATGGATAAATGGTTGTCCAATCTCTTCTTGAAAACCTCAGGTGAGGGAGCACCCACCACTTCCAGCAGAAGGAAGGAAGGAAGGGTTTTTTCCTGTTTACAAAACAGCCTTCTCAGCACATAATCTAGAGCAGCTTTAGAACAGAAAGCACGCAGCTCCAATTACAATTGTTCCTATGAGATTTTAATCACACGAACTGAAAACTGTCCAATAGTACATCTTGCTTGGCAGTGGCTCTGCCACAGTCATGTTTCCTATCCCTTCCTATTTTCCACTTAGGAACTAAAGAGCTCTAGCAGTTGCTTGTCCTAAACAGGAAAACAGCTCTTGGACCGTCAGCAAAAATGCCATTTCAAATATTTAGGCATTGGATGAGCAGTTAATTAGAATTGCTCTGCATGGGCACAATTAGAAACCATTCTTGTGGCTACCAACCTTGAATTTCAAGGCTTGCTCAAAAGCCCTCCATGCCTCCAGAGCCAGCATTTTTAGCTCTCCTTTTTGTTTCATTTATTAGCTATCCAAGGTCTGGGTGACTCCAGAGACCAGTCAGTTAATATTGACCTTTCTGATAGAGCCTGCAGTGAGTTAATATTCATCAACATCCACAAGGCTACACTTTGAAACAGACAAAGCAAAGCAGAAGTGTACTTCCCATTTTGTTCTCTTTGATTAGCCAAACTATGGTGCAGCCTAATATAGATCCCCAAAGCTAGTAACAGGTCACCTCCAGCCATCCAAGCTGCCGGCCAAAAGGATTGGCAAAGCTTGTGGAAAGTACATCTCTTTAAAACAGGATGGGGGACAAAGTGACTTTTGGAAAATAACAAGAGGATTACTATTAATCCAATTCACACATCTAACCTGAAGATGGATGTACTATATAAAATTAGACATGCAAAAACACAGTCCTGCATTTAAAAAGCAGAGTCTGCTGTATCTGGGCAGCAAAAGTAAGTGTGTCTCACAGGTATGGCTCTCGGGACCTTCAGGCCACGCCCCTTGCCTGGGCCTTTTCCAGCTCAGCCCACTTCAGCAGTGTCTACAAAATAGCCCCAAAACTTGACATCATTCTACAGCCATTCAACCAAAGTCCTTCCTCCTTTAAAGTGTGCTAAGATGCATGTAAAAAAGGAGTAAGGCTTCAATTGTATGATTATGGTGGCCATCCTGACTATTTTGACCTCTCTGCTACCTCTGGTACACTCAGTTTTGTGAAGCAGCACTTTTGAACAGAAGTGCTGACTGACAAAAGGCAGTGTCAGATTTCCAAGACTGATATTTCTGCTTTCACATGTTTAGGTTCTACACAATGAGCAGCTTCTCTTGTTCCCTGTTGTTACATGTACAATGCAGAATGCAGAATGCTGCCAGAAAATGGTTCAGTCAACTAAGCTTTCGTCCTTGAAGAACTATGTACACTTTACCACAAAATGCGGTACCTGTTTATGATTGAAGAAAGGAAGATTTCATTTGCATGAGTTGTCGTGTCTAATTAAGTCATACAAAAGAACAAGAAGGCCAGGGGACACTAACATTTCAGTCTGAAATCATTCCCAAGCTTGTTTGATTGCTTCCAGAGGGACAATCATATCTCCAACTACAGCAAAACATAACAAAGAAAGACTATAGCACTTTAAAGATAAAATCTTCAAGTCAAGCTTAACCTTTGGGGAAACTCTTCAATTTGTATGGCAATATTCCAGAAGAGGCTTGTCATTACATATTGGGATACTTTTTCAATTTCCCAATCTGGCTTGTGATCCTGGTATTCCCCCATACATCCCATTCAAGAACTAAACAGGCACTTCCCTACTTCTTCCCCAATGGGGAAATCTACCATTCCTGGAACTCTACCAACACCAGAAACCTAAATTTAAAATCAGCTATTTTTTTCCAGGTATCATCATGCAATAATGTCAAACAGCCTAGATTTCACAGTTAAAATAATCACCACCCAAATCTTACATGATTAATGTTTATCTGCTTTTAATTACTTTAACCTGGTATTCTCACAGAAAAGTTTATGAAAGCAACATTGATGCGTGAAATTTCATGTGAGAAGGCCAACATCTTGTAAGATAATGACTTTCTGTTCATTTTGGGGAATCTAGCCAACAACTCCATGTTGATGATTTCTTAAGACTGTAATTCTACGTGCATTCACATTTAGCAACCACAATTGGGCCCAGCCACTCAGGCATTAAACCAAGCAATCACTAAGTGAAACAACTGAATTTACTTCAGCTTTTCTTTGCTTTAAAACCTGTAAAGGTCATAAATACAAGGATGGTTGTAAAATTATTTCATCATCACATTGTAATTGTGAACTCTGCTAAACACGGCAGTCACCAAACAAGGATTTCCTCTGTAGGTGACATGCATAAGATTATATTGTTAGTCTTCGAGATACTTGAATTTTTGCCAGAGGAAGACAACCAGGTTTCAGATCAGATATTCTGGATTTCAACTTTCATCAGGCCTAACCAGTATTGCCTATAAGAGGGGTGTCAAATTGCCGGCCCATGGGCTGGACGCGTCACGTGGAAGCCATGCTCACCCCATTGCCAGCAATGGCAAAACCGGCCCGATATGTTGCGTGACGTCATGTGACGTCGCGAGTTTGTCATGCCTGGCCTACGACAAGGAATTATAGGTGAGTACTTTAAACTTTCTGCTCCAGTTTTCAGAGAACTGAAAGTAGATGGAAAAGTTTTAGCCAAACTGAAATGAATGAAAAAGCTATAATAAAAGAAGCTCCTTTTCTCTCCCAGAACTGAAAGTGAGAATGCATATAGCAGATGTGTATGAAATTTAAATCTCCTCCTCCTCCAGTGGGTACCCTTTTCACACTGATTAGATACCAAGCACACCCCTCAGGATTGGGGAATCATAATCTCCCCCAAATTATGCAGAATAGCACTATCAGCAGTAAATGGGATTTCCCACAACTGTTTCTTAAAAGGGATGATAAGCAAACTGTTGTTCAGGCAAGTCTAGCTGCTATTGCCAATTTTCTTGTGCAGCAGCCTGATAATATAAATTAATTAAAGGCTCCCCATTTAAACTTTACCACATTACAATAAAAACATAGAACCAAAACCTTATGTTTTAAACACCACTTCCAAATCACAGATGAATTGGCAAGCACTGCCACCTGGTGGTTGAATAGAACCAAAATACCCACATGAACAGTCTTGCTCGATTCCACATTTTATTTTGATTTTTCACTGGTCATAGGCAATTTCTGAATCCTTTGGCACTCTTCAAGCAAAAGGCACTTTGGCCTCAGATTACTTTTTCTAGTTTTCCCACAGGCAGAAAATTGCTCAAGTGTTCATAATCAACATGTAATGAGTTCTTTTAAGCACTGTAAGTGTTGCTGAATTGAATGCCTCAGCAATGAGAAAATTTAATGAGCAACAAAATCCTGAGGTTATCTGTCTCTGCAAACAATCAACATTTCTTGGCATAAATATCCAGGTACTTGTCATCTTCAGATTCAGATGGACATCCCTTAATTTAAGCCTTCCTACAATTAAAGAAAATAAAATGGCTGAACACCAAAAGATAAGAATTTAAATTATAGGAACAGCCTGCCTTTGAATACAGATGGCTAGTCCAGTAATGGGGCATAGCCATAGAAGCCCCAAAAGAGCAGATAGATAAGACAGCAAACTTCCTCCAGGACTTTGAATGACAAATGATTCAGGAAAAATAGAACATTGACCAAGATGGAATTTTGTGGCAAGGTGAGTCTTATCTCAAATATGTCTATATTACAAAAAAAAAAACTGTCACCCCACTCTCCAGAGTGTGTATTGTTATTTTAAAAACATGGAGCAGATGTGGAGAAGAAGGGAAATGTTATTTATTTCCCCTCCAAATCTGGCTTGCACTTTGCCCTGAAATTTTTCAAACAGCTTTTGCAGCTTGCTAGGAATAGTTTATGCTATTAAAATGTCACAAATTAATCCCAAAAGATTAATTAAAATATTTTTAAGTAATTCCCAAAAAAGTTCCTCCTCCAGTTGGAAGCTAATTCTGATGACATTACAACAATAAATCTGGTGGTGGTAGTGTTCTCAAGATTTTTGGAGCAACTTAATAATACATAATGAAATGATGTGACTGAACATGTCCATGACAAGAAGGAAAAAGGATTACTGTGATGGTATATATATATGCACACACAAAGCTTTGGAGACAGAAGACAGTTGACCCCAGCACCACATATGAATGATTATAAAAAAAAGAGTCACTGCAATATAGAATCCATTTTCTACTTTTCTCATGACTGACAAGAAAGTAGGGAGCATAGTGCTAAACTCCCAATGGCTTGCTGAAAAAACAGGGAGCTTCTCAGTGAAGCAGCATTATAAGACCACTTGTATGAAAATTTGGATTTCAAGTCAACAGCAGCGTAAAGATGGATCGGGGTTTCCGAGATTTGCTGCTGCCATTTTCCCAAGCAGCTTGGAAAGTCCTTTCAATGCAGTCTATTGGACCAGCCAAAACCCACTAGAACCACTTTTGTAAAAATGAAAAAAGAAAGCAAGGGAAACAAATATAGCTTCCCCTGCTCTCTTCAGAGAAGTGTAGGAAGAACTGGGGAAAGCAAATGAAAGGGCCCAAAATAATCTCAGGGAGACAAGAAGCATGTCTCAATACATTCAAGCAAAAAAACAAAACAAAAGGCAATCAGGCTATCACACTATGGCAACAGAATTCTGAAAGGGAAGCTTTTGAGATGTAAAAACAGAAGCAGTAGAGAGGAAATTGTCACCAATCTTCAGAGCAAAGTGGGCTTACAACATCAAACTCCTCAGATGCTAGAAAGCAAAGCAACAGGGTGTCTTTTATAGATGGCAGCCCATGGCTTTTTCCAAGTTACCCTCTGCCACAGGTTTTAGTCTCTTTTAAGAATCTCAGAGTTGGCCTTCAGGAGATAAAGACTGTCATCGACAAGGAAACTGTAAAGAGAAAAGACGAAAGTTACTAGGATGAAGGATCAGTATGGATTAAGGCTAATTTTAGGTTCAGAACACAGATGGACATATTTTTCCAGGCCAGGAACTGCAATCACTATTCAAAATCATGTCAGGAGAGAGTGAAAAAATAAACAGGGCCTAAATTAGGCTATGTAATAATGATAATTACCACTACTATTATTTCTTTTTTTTTTCAATATAAAATTTTATTGTTTTTATCATAAAAGAAAAAAGAAATACATCACAGGTATTACACAATGATTTATCCCATCCCCCCACCCCCCGGACTTCCCAAACCAAACCTAGGCTAACATTCAAATACAAGTAAACAAATATTAATATCTCTAACTCCAAACTCTAAACTTAAACAATCCATCTC